GTGGAAAGATCAGAAACACTGTTTGTCCAATATGGTAGACAGGCCAAGGTAAAGCCAAGTAGTGTACTTCAAGAATTATGGGGTTTTGCAGACTGTTGTAGTGTGTTAGCCCTTGCGTATGCCATTTACACCATGCATAAATCTATTCCACAGAGAATGAAATGACCAAGATAAGAAAACAATTATTTGATCCTCACACTGTAAAGCTAATTTCATCATTCACTCAAAAGATAGAATCCAAATACTTAGTAAGGAAGTTTAGTAAATCAGTTTGCAGAAGTTCAGTCACAAACTTGCACTCATCAAACCCACAAATACCAGATGATAACAAGAATGCATATACGTGGCATATTATTTTGGATTGAAGAGCTGCATTTTTTTGAGTCTCCTGTATAAAACTCATTCTTGGTTTTCTTGGAAATAGTTTTGATACTTGCATACCCAACCATGTTAATATTCAGCAGTACTACTTGTATATTAATATTATTCATGTTTTTAAGCTAAACTGAAAGAAAAGTTACTCATTGCCTTAAGGTAGATATGATACCAAGAATGATCTTTTTAAAAACTAAAATTAAGGAATCATACTAATGTAAAAATAAATATTAATATGAAGCCCTTATATTTGTATGTGAGATTTAGGTCCATGAATCTTATGCATTTATCTTGTCAATGTATAAACCACAGTATTTCTGACTGTCTTGGAGGAATCAATAAAAAGATATGTGTGCCATTTACCCTTTTTACTTTTTTTTTTTTTGTATTTGCCTTTTTAAAATTTCATATTTTAAAAGACTTAAAATTTGCTTGCATTGTTATATACGTGTGTCAGTTTAATAGTGGTTAAAGTAAAAGCCAGACTTTCTTTAGAGAATTGACTGAGTAAAATCTTTACAAGTAGGGAATGAGGAACGTTAGCCAGAACCATTTACTTAACAAAATGCTGTGTTCCAGAGGGTGCTTAATAAAATGTTCAGTCTGCTCCACAACAGTACTGCTTGATAATGGACACTAGCAATTTTTGAGATGTTTGGAACACTTTCATCTTTACTCCAGATGGAAAAACCTGCCAAAATCTGCCAACCATTTTGAGAGGATGAGAGTACATTTTTTGTTGTTTGAACTTTTCCCATACAAATCTGGCCTTAGCAAAAAAAGAAAATGGCCATGTAGTGAGAGGGATTGCTTATACTTGGGTCAGTGAAATCTTTTCCCAGAGATACTAGTATCTTTTTTTTACTGTTGTCATGGTTTAGACCTAGCCGGTAACTCAGCACCATGCAGCTGTTCACTCATCCACCTCCTTCCCCCCTTTTCCCAGGGTGGTATGGGGAGGAGAATCAAAAGAATGTAAACTCCACAGGTTGAGATAAGAACAGTCCAATAACTAAAATAAAGCAACATATAGTGATAATAAAAAAAATACCGATAATACTAATACTAATATGAATCAACAAGAGAAGTAATGAAAGCTCAGAAAACGCAAGCAATTCACAATGCAATTTGTCACTACCTACCAGATGATACCCAGCCCAACCTGAGCCGCAATTGGTCCCTTCTGGATAACTCCCCCCAGTTTATATACAGGGCATGATGTGCTCTGGTGTGGAATGTAAGCTGTTACAAAACATACTTCAAAGATTGTGTACTGTGTTCCAGTCCAGCTGTGAAAGTACCTTTTGAGGCACAAATCAGTAGGAAGCATTCACTTGTTTAGAAATGATCACAGGAGTCCTTTATAGCCCAGAAAGTATGCTCTTGTGATTTTGTAGAGGTACTGTACTATATACTGAGTGAGTGGTGGGTAATTTCCAGTAACCGCACAGATTTTTTTTCATATAGGAAAATATCTGCAGATTGCATGAAATGAGTATCAGGTATTAAATTGAGGTTTTTTTTTCTAGAGTCCAGATTTGTTTCTGATGCAATGTTAGCATTTCTTGGAAAGTAAACATTACACAGCATTTACCACAAAGTAGTACATGTATGGAATAGGAAACAGTTATAAAACCTTTATGTATCATCTTTTGATAAATGCTGGCCTTTTATCACATCAGTTTTATTCAAAATACTTTAATAGTTGCCTGTGTTTTAATTTGTTTTGTATGTTAATCATCATAAAGATATTGATGATCATAAGCAGAATAGATTTGGTTCTGAAGGGGACATGGGATTGATTAATATTGTGCTGGGATGCAGAAGGCATACATTGTATTCTGCTTTTCATAAACAATAAATGGACTGGGAGAAGTTAATTTCATCTCTGTGCCTTGGTTTCTCTTCATACAAAATTGAGTTCCCAGTACTTTCTTTGAAAAATGTACTGAGGTTTATAGAAAGATAAGTTATTTTAGAACTATGTGAGATTTTATTGCTATTATGGTAAATAGGACGAGAAGGTGTTTGTTCACACCAAACCTTGGTTTATTCTGTGCTTCCATCTTCTAAATGGGTTATTCAGCAAACAAAGATTTCCAACATGGATTGGATGGAGAGATTAGAATTACCTGTGAATCAGTCAGAGATTTATCAGTGGGATCATTCAAGGCTGTAGTTCAGATTCTCTCCTGCTTATTCCACTTCCTAAGCAGTTGCCATGCATCAGATGTGGTTTTTTGAAATGTTGTTTTGATTTAGTGGCATTTCATGTTTGCCTTTCTTTTTCCCTCTTTTATATGTCCTTTAATTCTTTTTTATATATGGCGGAAGACAGTGAAGAAGTGGAACCTTTGAAATTCTTTATTGATGGAAACATTACCAAAACTTAAGATTTATATTCTAATCATTTATATATGGGGGTATTTGTCAAAGGAGCCGGTAGGACTTGCCACTCACTTCTATTGAATTTCAGTGGCATTTCAAAGTCTTACTCCCTCAGGCTCGTCTTTCCACTTCTTTATACCTCAAACATCAATCTTATCATATATAGCAATGATTTTTTGGCAAAGCCCCCCAGACAGAAACAACAAGGAGGGTTTCAGTACAATTGTTTTCCTTGAATTACCTGGTATTTCTAGCTAGATTTAATATATTCCCCCTGCTTCAAGCACACTGTTCCTTCTACTCCTAATCCTCCATGATTTTATGCATTTTTTGGCTTTCCATGGTTTGCAACTAAATTGATAGATAACCTGGAATTTGTAAATGTGATTTTAAGTCACATGATATTTAGCAAATAAACCAACATATAAATCAGCAAATAAAACAGAATACTTGAATGTGATCTATTGTAGAAAAATGGCAAACTATTTGTCATGAGGCAGTGTCTCTGGCAGTGATGAGAGACAGTAAAAGATCAAGTATAATGTCAAAGAAATTAATGTTTTAGAATTCATACCTTTGTATTTCACAGATACATTTGCTAAAATATTATTAGAGGTAATAGTAACTAGCATTAAAGAAATTCAAGCAAAATAGTTTTCAGTGTATTGTAGTGTTAGCTTTATTTGTTTGAGTAACTATAACTTTAATTATAAAAATTGAAAATTGTATTGTAGTAATGTGAGACCACTTGATAATGGCTAAAAATTGTGCTTGTAGTTTTGTCAGATTAGTTTATAAGTATCCCATTACATCATTCCAGAAAGATGTCCCGAAGCACCTGTCACAGTTCCTAATGACAACTGCTTTCTCTCCTTCCCTGCCATGCTCCTTCAGGTATCAGGATTCTCTTTTCTTTATTCCGTATGCTCATCTTAGCCCCTGGCCCTGACCTGGAAAATGCAACTCACAGCTCCTTGGCTCACAGACCAAAGGAGCTGAAAAGGGCTGTCGCCTCTCACTGTCTATGCAGCACTCCTTTTATACCGCCATATGATTTACTGAGAAAGAACTTAAGCCTTGTTTATCAGCACACAAGCAGAAAGTGATGGGCACTGATAAGTTCCTTGAAATCACTTGATTATTTTGTATTATTTGACTTTTATCAGGACTTTTTCATTCAAAGATAATTTACTCAAAAATGGTTTGTGTAAACTGTAGCATTTACAGTGTGATTGCAATACTACAGACTGCTGTAACATACTAATATTTTGAAACAGTGGGTCCATTTTGCACCTGTGCAACAAAACTGAAATTGCATCAAGGTTGCATTTGCCAATACGCAGATACAGTTTGCTTCCAATAAAGTTTGTAAACTCTTCCATTTTCAATTCATATTCTGTGCTGACAGTAGCAAACCACTAATGCATTTTCAGGTCCAATTTGAAGTTAGTTGATGAATTTATATTATCAGTGTTTAAACAGTGTCTTTTTTTTTTTCTTGTATATTTAGAAAAGCTACAAAATCCAGCAGATGGGATACTCTGCATCTGGTCTAGGTCATCAGTCTGTTTATGCTTACATCCTTTTCTCCAGACTGTGCTTCCTTCCCAATATAAGGCATCAGAGTAAAGTTCAGCGGACGGTGTCACCTGTTAATCATCAGCAATTGTTCCCTACTTATCTACTCCTATTAATAAAATCCATACCACTGCAGAGCCTTACTTTCCTGTTAGGAAAAATCTTCCTTATATTGCTCTGCTTCAATATATTGCGCCCTGTATGTGTAGCCTTGTTTCCTTCTTTCCAGTCTCAGCCATTCTCCTGTGCTCTTGAAATGCTGGGTTATTCTCCTTCAGGTGCATCTGCTGCAGGAACTATTTAATACTCTTCTGTTCAATATTCTTCTGTGTATTTTTTTCTTACCTCTTAATGTAAAATAGCTGTGTTCTTTAAATTACCCTTGTCATACATACTGTCTGCATCAGGTACATAAATTAAAGATAGGAATGGAGCAATATACAAACAACAGCTAGTAATCATGAAGAAGAATGTTATACCTTTAATAATTGACTTCCTATTTGTTATTCTCAGAATTATACAATTTTGTCTGATGGTTGTTCTCCCTTGACAATTTTACCAAAGGAATTTTTCCAAGCAGAGCTTTTCTACTTTGGCCTTCAAAAAGCAGATTGATGTTTTGTAGGATCAAAACCAAGCATATCTTTATTCCATTACAGGAATACACAATAGATGTTTTCTTCCGTCAGAGATGGAAGGATGAGAGATTAAAGTTTAAGGGCCCGATGAACATTCTTCGATTAAACAACTTAATGGCCAGCAAAATCTGGACTCCAGATACATTTTTCCACAATGGGAAGAAGTCAGTGGCTCATAACATGACAATGCCAAACAAGCTTCTACGAATCCAAGATGATGGGACTCTCTTGTACACCATGAGGTAAGTCTTTTTGTCTATTCTCTACCTAAGCTATTTTTTGATGTAATTTTTCAAGATAACAACTTGGTTGCAGTAGTACTCTCCTTTGTTTCATTTCTGTCCCAGCAGATAGAAAGCTAGGAAAACACATTTTGTTTCTAGTTTTGTTACAAATCTGTTGGCTGATTATCAGTTGAATCAGTTTTCCTACATGTTTCTCAGATTTCATGCCTCTGTAACGTATTAAAAGATACTGATCACCTACATAAAATGGTTTGAGACCTTCAGATGAAATCAGTGTGTAAGAACTGTTAAGAATACTCAAAGTTTACCAACTCCATCTCAGAACAATTAAAATAGTATATGTTAATTGCCTGCTACTGCACCCATTGTACCAAACGCATGAGTCCTTAAGCAAATTTACTATTAAGATCAGTGGCAATAAAAAAATAAAGAGGAAGAAGAAAGGGTTAATAAGGCCTCAAATTCTTTCCAGCAAGAGCTGCAGGGAAAATATGTTTTACTCTGTAATAAATCTTTCTTTATATCTAATTACAATATTTTACTTAGAGTTTCATTTTTTGCATCCTGTGTGTGATTAGCAGCTAAGATAAACATTTAGATGGTAAAATGTATGATATTTGCTTATAAAACAATTTATGAAAAATTATAAATATTATGCTTGCATAGGCATAAGCAGCAGTTGCATAAGACTGATTTCTTCTTTGATTATTCTTTCTGCAATAATGTTACCTATATGAGTTTTCTGGAAAATTCTTATCCAAACTTCCAGAAGCATCTGATTGGTTTCTTCTTTTTTTTTTTTTTTGAAAATATTTAATAAATTGAATTTGTTGCAAGTATAGACTTAAAATTCCCAGGCTAAGGAAAATATAAAATGTGAGCTGTAAAGCAAGCATGTACTGTGCTTTTTTTTCCATGCAGCAATACCAGCATCTCTTAACCCTGATTTACTACACAACACACTTATAGTATTGGGTGTTGATGGGTAGACTGGTAATAATGTTGAACGATGTGGTGGTTGGAGAGGTTCAGAAAGGTTTGCTGGAAATAGAGACCCCCATTTATAGTACTTTTGCTTGGGCTCAAATCAATATTTGTACTTGTATTTGTATAAATTGACTGAAATTCTCTTCCTCCAGAAGGCATTGTAATCATATGCTATAAATAATAAGAAATACTGTTTGAAAGCATTATGAAGATTTTTTTAGAAAACAAAAGAATTAACTATGCTTTTTCCTGACTTTTAAGTATGTTGCTTCTGAGGGTATGAGATTAATGTGTAAACTGTTTTCGTTGTCTAGATTTTCAACAGCCATTTTTATCTGTATATTTAAAATCTTAGTGTGATTTATATCAGGGGCTCATGCAGTTCTTTCACCTTCCGCTGTTTGCTGACTCATCTCTCTCTCTCTGCCCCTTGACTTCACTTTTCTGTGGAGTGGGGGAATAGTAATATGTAATATTTGGGGAGAGAAGGGTGGGAAAATATGGTGGGGAATACAATGACTGTGAACCACTGGGAGTACAGGAGGATGTAGCTGACTTTTGAGGCTGGATGAAGAGGAATGAAGGCATCCAGAAAAAAAATCTCTAACCAGAGAAGACTTGAAAGATAGGAAGGAGAAATAGAGTTTTGTATTGTTTGTTTGTTTGTTTGTTTTAAAAATAACAAGAAAGAAAAGTCCATCAAAATCCTTCTTCAAACTTTTGATTTTTTTTTTTTTTTAATCCCTATATTTGATACTGGAATATTGGTAGGATTTTTTTTTCACAAAAGAAGCAAAAGTGAATGAATTGTTAACATATTGTCATGATTATACGTACATAAAAATAATAATACCAAGTAACAGAGAGAATGAGCAATATCGTCAGTCTTTTCAAAGAACACAAATGGGGTTTTGTCTATGTCTTCCACATCGTCAATTCAAACAGAAAAAAAAAAAGACCCAGGAAACTGTGGAGCATAGTCCTTTGGCAAATTAACTGTATTTATGTGCTTTTGTAATAAGCCTTTGAGAGCCATATAATCACACATGTACCTCAGAATATTATGAGAAGAAAATGACTGTTCTTAACAACCTGCAGTTACATGGTTACATAACTTATATTTTCATTTAAATGGCCTTTGCTCATAGTTTTGAGGTCAGTTCTTTCAAGCTTTTGATGTGATAAGTCAATGCCTTCCAAAGGAACACATAAAAGGGAAGAAGCAAGAGCTGATTTAAATTTTAATTAGTTTAATGTAACATTTCAATTTCATCTCCTAAAACAGCATGAACTCTGTTCATTTCTGTTGAAGTGATTTTCTTGTACTGTTAACTGACTTAAATGCATACCGCTTTTAGGCTTACAGTCCAAGCTGAATGTCCAATGCACTTGGAGGATTTCCCTATGGATGCTCACTCATGCCCACTGAAATTTGGCAGCTGTAAGTATATAATAAGTTTAGCCTAGGTTAGTGAATACCTAACATTGCCCACCATCACTTTGTTTCAGCAAGCTGTTACATGAGAGGTTTAAACACAGAATGGTTCTTTTTAAAAGGTTTGTAACCTGATATATCAAAATCTCTTTTTGTGGTATCTTCTAATGTATTTTAAAGCTTTCTTGACTTCAGTTAACAATAAGCACTATACACCTAGTTCAGCATTTTATTACAGTGTTGAAACCATACTGATGAATGCAGACCTGGGTACATGTAGCCCATGAAGTATTAATGAAGAGCAGATTAAAGACTTCAAATAATGGGTTGTTTTTTTTTTCATTTATTTAAACACTTACTTTCTCTATATTATTAGTGAGATTTGTTTTTACATTCTTTGTCAATGAAGGCTTCTTGTGTTAAAATGTTTCACTTCTTAGCACATCTGCATGTTATAAACCCGTGAACTTTGATCTCAGTAGTATTACTTCAACAGCAGCCTAACTCCACTTACCTATACTACAGCCTTTCTTCTTCTTCATGAACTAGAATCATATTATTTTTATGTCCTGGATTTTGTACACTGAAAGGTTTTCTTTTTTTCTTTGCCTGCAGTCTACATTCTCTGCTGGGCCCAGGAAAGAGAATGTTTTTTTGAGGAAACTGGTTATTACCTTTAAATTCTGGCTCATTTTACACCACAGGTTACAAAACAGGTGGTAAGCTGCCACTAAGGACAGCATTAATCAGGTGAACATTGTCAGGGAGCTATGCACACTCCCTCCCATAACCCTGGCATACTTTTCCTTGGAGTTTGAAGCAAATTAAACCAAGCCTGTGTTTCTGATGATGCTTCCACACTAGAGAGAAAACTAATAATATTTGTATCATGGAGCATTACCCACCCCTAAATATTTTATGTCTAATACATAATACAGCTTAATTAACACTAGAGATGTTAGCTGAAATCAGCTGCTAATTCTTATTTATATGTATGTGCACAGCAAACTATGTTTGATTTATAAGGTATGATAAGAAAAAGGACTTATATGTAGCCTTATTTGGTTGGGTCTTTTTTGCTTACGAATTTGTTCTTTGTTATGTGCCCATGATTTCTGGTTTTCTGGCAAGAAGGAAAATTAAAGCTGTAAGCAATGTGATTTTAGAAAATCTGTCTTTCATTTCCCTCATACTCACCTGTGCACATTCAGGGAACTCTTATTTCTGTCCATTTAGAATAGCTTCACACTCATTTTATTTCTTTACCGACAACTCATTTCTAGACTGCTGTGCATTTTTCAGCTGTTATTCTGGGATAGAACTTGAATGAGGAATAATCATAAAAATAAGAAAGAATCATGAGGATTTTGGTTTAGCTGAGACAAGTTTGCCAGTGATGTGTATTTGTTGCAGCTCTTCCTATGCTGCTACTCTTACATTGCTAGGAGGATCACAAGCCTCTTACGTATGTCTGTTTGGTTGGGTATTTTTTATACATAGGAGAAAAGCCAAACAGAACATTTTGGAGAAACTGTAGCTTAATAGATAGCTTAATAGCCTTTCTTTATCCTCACCATAAAATCTAGCCAACAGTGGGGAGAATTGGGACAAATCAGCAGTTGGCAATACTATTGATTTGCATTGAAGCAGAGGTCTTCTTGTGGGAAGATGGAAAGATAGGAGGGAATTGTTAAAAATCTCTACATGCTACCCATCTGCTAGATTTTGTTAGTCATGTAATCTATGGCTACTTGCATGAAAAAGCTTCTTTCTGGGCCTTCAGGTATTTCTCAAGCAAAAATGTTTGCAGCCCAACAGAAGTGAAATGTTGCTGCTTCTTTCTTTCTTTCCTTTTCTTTTTTTTTTTCTCCCCACTGCAGTACAGTTATGGTATAGGACTCAAAATGTACTTGACTTAGTCAATCAAACTGAACACAAAGTTTCATCCATCAGTGGTTTACCACTTTCCTTTTATTTTCCATTTGTTAGTAGGGTGTTAGACTGGAAAAACTAGCAAAACATACTCAATTATTTTCTTTTTTACTTATGGGAGAGGCATTTATTTAAAATTTAGTTTAAAATAAACTATTTAAAATATAGTTTTGATTTGCTTTCATTCTAGTTTATTTTGACAGACCCTAGGCTAAATGCGTGTACTGAGAGAGTAAGCAGCCTGCTTAATGTCAGTGTGTCCCACAAAAATATGCTATTTAAGAGGGTAAAATTTAAGAGGCTACACAGGGCAAGGCACAGAGCAATTACAAGTTTGTTAATGGCATTATCACTGAACCTGACTTCCCATGTTTACGTATGAATTTCAGTTAATATTAAAATGCTTATGATACAATCCCAAAGTGGAGAGTGGGGACAACAGAAAGTCAGAACAATATAGGAATGAATTTTCAGAAATTTTGTACATTCTAAATCTTGCATTATGATGCTTTTTTCATCCGGTTTACACGAGTTTCAGGATACATATAATACCTGATCTCTGACAAGTTCTTTTAACAGTGTAGAAGATATGTTTGTAATTTAGCAGCAGTAAATTGTGGTTGATAAGATCACAAAGGAGTGCCCTGTTCCCATGCTCCAATAGGTATTTACCCTACAGTAAAGCTATTTTAAATGTCAAAGCATACTTTTCCCATATAATTGTAGGTTTATGGTGTCAACTCTTTTTCTTTAAGAAAAAAAAGAATGTAGGTCTTCTAATTCTATATGTTTTGATAGAAACTGTTTAAATTTCTGACAAAATATTTTATTTTATTTCCCACAGATGCATACACAACTTCAGAAGTGACATACATTTGGACTTATAATGCTTCAGATTCAGTGCAGGTGGCACCAGATGGCTCAAGATTGAATCAGTATGATCTTTTAGGTCAAACAATTGGAAAAGAGACAGTTAAATCTAGTACAGGTTAGTAAAAGTAATTTTGACAAAAAAGGCACTCACTTGTCTATGAAGAACATAGGCATTGCTGGTGGTGTTGGAAGGCTCCTGAAAAACACTTGCAAAATGTGAGATACTAGGCAAAGTCTATTAATGTATGGTACAAATAACACATAGCAGCACTTTACTGACTCTTTCAAGTTAATAAGTAAACTGGTGATAGCAAATGTGATCTTGTCCCCAGTAACTTTTTTTAATGCTGTATCTGGAGCTTAGCCTTGAATCCTAATGTTTTTAACTCAAGACTAGGATAATTGTTTAATTTCATGTGATAAATAACACTTTTTGTCTACTAAATGGTGAATCATACAAGTTTCAGCTATTTTCCCCTTCCATCATGTTTTTGGCATTAAACATTCTACCAGATTCTAGACTGTTCCTACATGCATCAGGCTGTGATGGACCCCCATGATTGCCTTTTGACTGAGATTAAGTTCTCAGGGTGCCTTTGCATGAGCACAGAATGTTGTTCATGTGCAGAAGCCTGCAAGACTAAAGCTCTTGTTAGGGCATGCAGAGTTCCTGTAAATTCCTGAACAGTGATCTTCCTTGGAGCTCAATGGGAATAAGATGTGGTTGTGCTCAAAAACTTTCTTATATTCTGCAGGATGCTTTCTACTACAGAATATGTTCTGTGCAATTTACCCCTAGCACATTTAGTTCACATAAACATGCCAAACTTTTTTTTTACCAAAGAAATGGACTTCCTTAAGATAATAACCTTTTGTTTCGTTATATTTTGTTTGCTTGTGGCTCCTAGGTGAATATACAGTAATGACAGCTCATTTTCACTTGAAGAGAAAAATTGGCTATTTTGTCATTCAGACTTACCTGCCCTGTATCATGACTGTGATTCTCTCTCAAGTGTCATTCTGGCTGAACAGAGAATCTGTACCTGCCAGGACAGTTTTTGGTGAGTATACTGGGCAGTGTTAGCTTTGTTTGCAGCAGATGAAGCTGTTAGGAAGCATTTCTGAAGTATGCTTGGTAAAGGCCTTTTTCATCCTAATTGCTGTGCTTGTAGAATGTGATACTCTTTCTAGTCCAAATAGGTTTCAGCTACAGCTCACAGATCTCCAGAGAATCCTGAAGTTTTTTTGAAATTAGTGCTTAGGAGAAAATTGTCCATATGTGACTCTTTTGAGAGGAAAAAGTTTTCACAAAATAGAAAAAGACAACAATGTTTCTATTCAAAAAGTAAATTTAGATTATTTTCTGAAATGTCTTTCTTACCTTGATATTATATGAATAATATTTTCATACTTGGTAGATAAGCACATTTCTAAATATATTTTTTAAATTAAGCAAATTAAATTTGAATTTGTTGAATTATTTGAATGTGTTAAACTTTGCAAGCTGCAGTTGTTTAAAATTAACCCTATTCTGGGAGTGTGGGCAAAACCTTTCCACTAATTCAAATTGGAATGTACTGCAAGGCAGTGAACAGCATCAGCAGCGCAAAATAATGTTTCTCTTACAATAAGGTTTTGCTTTCTTCTTTATTAAAGCAAAGTAACAAATGTCTTTCTTATTTGCATAACCTAAAGTTAATTTGTTTGTTTTTAAAGAAAAAGAGACTAGCACAACAAAAGAGGGAAAGCAATGTCTGTGTGAAATCAGCCATCAGAAATGCTGCATAAATCATATGATTAGTCATCATTAAACACTATGCGCTCTTCAAAAAATAGGTCAAACTCACTTTCTGTCTCTCCTTGTAGAGCAAATACCACACAAAGCATTGTGAAAATTGCAGATTCTAATATGAGCCTTACTGAAGGCAGATGAAATGGATCAGTGGTTTTAGTGGGACCAGAATTCTGCCACGTTTTCCCAGGCAGTTATCCAGCCGATTTTTTGTTTTTTTGTCTTTCTACAATATCTTCTGTGAATGTGTCCATTTCTGCTTATCAAAATTCACATTTTTATTTTCCAGCCTCACAAATATACTGTCAAATCCTTCTATATCTCTGACTTCACCCCTTGTACTCCCTCCTGTACATTTAATGCAGTGTAACTGGTCTGTCCATAAAAAGTCTCACATCTTATTTTCTTAAAATGCACTTTCTGTTACTGTGTCATCAGTAACAAGGCATTAGGACAGTTTATACGAAAAGTTGTGTCCCTTTCTGCATACTTCTTTCTTTCTGATTTTTTTTTTTTTTTAATTTTATGGTGTTTTCTTTGGAAATAAGTAATACCTGCATGGTAGACTGCTGCTTTATTCTCCTGGGAGTTTAGCATAATATGGATAATAAACAGTGTCCTGTTTCAGGATGTCTTGAGGGAACTGGGTAAGATGGCTGCAAGAACAGAATCACAACACCCGGTGACATAAAATCTAAAGTATGTGTACTAAGCACAATGGGTATATTGAGAAAATAGCAATTTCTATGCTAGCATTTTATTGCTGCCACATAGACAAGCCCCTCATGCACCAGTCAGGCTTCCATCCCATTCAGGCCAGCTTAGACTGGTACCCTGAACCCAGGAGAGCAAGACATGTCCAGTCTCTGTCTGATGGAGCATAGCCCCTGTATGCAGTGTTTGCACCTTGGGCTTAGACTTTGGCATTGGGTTGGAGGTCCCCTGAGGAGCTATTTCGTAATGTTCTTTTACATTTTAGATGAGATTGTCAGCATAAGATGCTGGTGGCTTCTCTAGTCACATAGCTCCAGGCAAATCTCCTAGTCTTCATACTTACTGGAAGAAATTGTCACTGCATCAAAAGAAGCGTGACCAGCAGGTTGAAGGAAGTGATTCTTCCCCTCTACTTTCATGAGATCTCACTTGGAGTACTGAGTGCAGTTCTGTTGTCCTCAACGTAAGAAGGACATGGAGCTGTTGGAGCGAGTCCAGAGGAGGACCACAAGGATGACCAGGGGACTCAAGCACCTCCTGTATGAGGACAGGCTGAGAAAGTTGGGGCTGTTCAGTCTGGAGAAGAGAAGGCTGCGTGGAGACCTTATAGCAGCCTTCCAGTATCTGAAGGGGGCCTATAGGGATGCTGGAAAGGGACTCTTCATTAGGGACTGTAGTGATAGGACAAGGGGTAACAGGTTCAAACTTAAACAGGGAAAGTCCAGGTTAGCTATAAGGAAGTTCTTTACTGTGAGGGTGGTGAGGCAGTGGAATGGGTTGCCCAGGGAAGTTGTGAATGCTCCATCCCTGGCAGTGTTCAAGGCCAGGTTGGACAAAGCCTTGTCTGAGATGGTTTAGTGTGAGGTGTCCCTGCCCATGGCAGGGGGGTTGGAACTGGATGATCTTAAGGTCCTTTCCAACCCTAACTATTCTATGATTCTATATTTATGATACCCTTCTGGTCTCCTGCCTAAATGTGTTTTGAAAGTGTGAATTTAGATACAGTTTCATAGCAAAGTTCATCTATTGCTTCTTACAGTTTTCTGCCTTACTGAACTAATCTTGGCAATTAGAGTGGGGCAGGTATACTCAAGATCTCATTTGGGTGGTACTTTCACGTATACTCCAGCAGTGATACATGAAGCCCATATTACAGCTAAGTTAATAAAATAAGCTACTTCTAGCAGAAAATATAAAACTTGTAGGAGATTTCACTTTACATTTTTATTGATCATACTTAATTTTTAGTTTTTATAAGGAGTTGTCACTAGATACCCATCTTTGCATTGTATAATAAATATATAGATATAACAAGAATATATTCTACATAACGTATAAACATAATAACATCCTGGGTATACGGATATGATAGTATAGCAATAATTAATGTATAAATGTTAAAATATTGTTAAGTAGAAAGTATTAGTTTTGATAAAGTGTTTGTCAGAATAAATAAGAAATTTATTTCAAGTATCTTCTTGAGAGCTACCAAGTCCTGGAAAGGACTAACTCCTGGAGTACTGTTGTTTTCAAAGAAACATAACTGCCAGATATTCAAAGCAGCACTTACCATTTATTATTTAATGTTTGAAAGAAGTTACTTTTCTTTCCCCCTTCTATTCTCTGGCAATGAAGTTTCAAGTTCTATGGTAACATTAAGGGCTTGGTAGAATGAAGCTTCTTTTATAATTGAGCTCCTTAATCCCTTTCCTTTATGGCATCTATTTAATATTGTTGACCTAAGTTATCCCAAATGAATTATGGGCTAATGTTACATTGTTTCAACTTTGCTTTAAATTAATGGAAGAAGAAAGTTTTATCATCATTAAGTCTTGAATATGTTTTCTCTAGCAGATAAATTCAAAAAGCATTTGATTGTGTTTTTAACAAAAGGGAATGAGCTTGGTTCATAATGCCTTCATTTAGTGCAAGATTACAATCTGTTTCATTTAGTAATGTGTTTATTGTTATGCATTTAGTGTCAACAATGTTAGCAAAGCTAACCTTGTGCAGCTTATTGAATTCTCCATTTTTAATGGTCATAACATTTAGAAGCATCACATATATTTGAATTGCAGCTCTACAGGCAGGTGACAGAAAAGTCAAAAATTAGTTTTCTTAGTGCTATAGTTATCTATGTGATTTAATTCTCACACAGAATGAGAATGAGACTGTTAAAAGAAATGTAGTTAGATATATATATACCATTTGATACCCAAAGCAGGCAAGAACAAAAATTAGGAGTTGTATTATTTTTTAATACGTTGTTCAAGATGCAGAATATTAAATTCATGTAGCCATGTTCTTTTGTCAGGGCTGTATTCTCTGTGATCATATTATTATGCTGCTTTCCTGTCCCTGTATTTTGCTTGTTCTTGGTTTATCTTTTCTGAACCTATATTAATTACTGTACATTTTGAAGCAAAAAGCCATGATTCTATGATTCTATGATTTAGACCTGAAATAGGCAGACTATGTACAAGCACAGAGAGGGAAACCTAAGAAAAGTGCAGATTTGATTTCTGGTTATTTTTACATGGTAATTCAATAATGTAGACCTTTAATTTTGAACAATTCTATATATAAAAATTATATTTTCCTATTATGTTGAAAAAAATCTGAACTCTCTTTATTTGCTTCTCCTTTCACATGTTGCTGATTATCATTTGTGCCTTTAGAGTTATCCCAGCACTTACAACTTTCAGTCTATAATTTCTTAATTGGGAGTTTCTGCTAACTGTAGGTATAACACTACTGGTAGGCAGTGGGCAAGCATACCTGGGAAACTGTAGACCTTAAATGACTGAGGTGGCTGCAAACAAATATGTCATCTCAGCTCAGTGGTGGTCAAGACAATAGCTCATATTCCAGTAGTGGTGTAATGATATGTAACTTTTACTGGAGTTAGGATAAATAGCACTTACTGTTTGGCTTTAGTTGTTGACCTGGTTCAAGCCCAGCTGGTAACTCAGAACCACACAGCCAATCACTCACCCACTCCCTTCTCCCCCCCCTAGGCAGGACGGGGAGGATAATCGACAAACTGTAATTCCCACAGGTTGAGATAAGAACAGTCCAGTAACTGAACTATAATACAAAACTAATACCACTACCACTAATAATGACAAGAGAAATAATAAGGGGAGAGAATATAAAGCTAAAAGAGAAGGAAAAGAAAACAATAAACACAAGTGATGCACAATACAATTGCTCACCACCCGCCAACTGATACCCAGCTTGACCCAAGCAGCGATCTGCCCTTCCACGTAACGCCCCCCCCAGTTTATGTACTGAGCATGATGCGCTGTGGTATGGAATACCCCTTTGGCTAGTTTGGGTCAGGTGTCCTGTCTCTGCTTCCTGCTGGCATCCTCTGTCCCTCCTCACTGGCAGAGCATGAGCGACTGAAAAGTCCTGGATCAGGGTAAGCATTACTTAGCAACAACTAAAACATCGGTGTGTTATCAACATTATTCTCAGACTAAAGCCAAAACACAGCACTGCACCAGCTACTAGGAAGAAAAAAATAACAGCTTAACCCAGGACAATTCAGACGTATTTGCCAGTGTCTAAGCAAAATCAATGTAAACTTCCTTTGTATTGTATTCTCAAGTAATACGTTACATAAATAAAAAACAAACAGTATGGTGTGTAGCCACAGTTATGGTATAATACTTCAAAATTGCACTATCTATTTCCAGAATTTTTAAGCTTTTGTTTAGGCCTCCAAATGTTTACTCTTGGCGTGATAAAATGGGGCAGCAATCTGTATCTTTCAAAAAGGTACAACAATTTTTTCTTTCTGCTACGTTATTTGTATTTATAAATCTGTTCAGGTTTTGGACCAGGTTGGGTAATCTAATTGCTTTTAAGAAAAAAGAAAGCATGAAATAATAGAGCAATTGGGTTAGTCTCCTCATACAAAAAGAGCAATTTATCAATCCTTTTGTGAAATCTTCTTCAACCACCCTGTGTATCTTTGCAAAGTGTTCTGGTGAAAAGATAAAATTGTGGGAGGAGTAGCATGATATTCTAAGAAATGGAACACATTTTAGGCATTTTGTACAAATTATTTGCAAAGCTGAAGTACCACTTTTGTTACTGAAATATTCTTTAGTAACTCACTGTTTAGGCCTTTGGCTTTCATTACAGAATCATAGAATGATAGAATAGTTAGGGATGGAAAGGACCTCAAGACCATCAAGTTCCAGCCCCCCCCCGCCATGGGCAGGGACACCTCCCACTAAACCATGCCACCCAAATGACCATGTCATTTTCAAGGGCTGCGTCTACATTCTAACACGAGAAGGCTAGGACGTAATATAGAACCATAGAATGGTTTGGGTTGGAAAGCACCTTAAGATCAAGTTCCAACTGCCCTGCCATGAGCAGGGACACCACTCTAAACCATGTCTTGAATGCCACCAGGGATGGAGCATTCACGACTTCCTTGGGCAACCTCTTCCAGTGCCTCACCACCCTCACGGTAAAGAACTTCTTCCTTGTATCTAATCTAAACTTCCCCTGCTTATGTTTTAACCCATTACCTCTTGTCCTATCACTGTAGTCCCTAATGAAGAGTCCCTCCCCAGCATCCTTATAGGCCCCCTTCAGTACAGTTAACTAAAATCTGCTCAAATTACAAAAATCAGTTGATACACAAGAGGTGAAATTAGGGTCCAAAAGATCTTGTTGCTGTCAAAGAGTAGCCTGACTTTTTGTGCACACATGTGGGCATAACTATTCATCATGACAAGATTTAACTTTAATATTTATGTGATAACTTCTTCAATTTCCACTGAATGTTTTTAGTTAACCATTTCTATGTTTTCAGTTTACCTCTTCTGCTGTTGTGTGGCAGTGCCCTAGACTGCTGAGTGCCAGAAATTTTTTGCCCAAAGGTGGCTGTCTGACTTAAAACGTGTGTTGGATGGTATCAATCTGTCCTGGAATCAAAAATATGTCAGAGCTGGTATTTTCCACATATGTAAGTTTAGTGTCAGTTGAAAGTGTTGAATTTGGAGTCCTGGAGATGGGTATCTTCCCTCCACTGAACAGATGCCACTTCAAAAGTGGCACCATAAAAAAATCCTAGGCAATCAAATAGCTCCAGAATGGATAAAACTGTAGTGGTATAATATATTTAGCATTTATAAGCATGCACTGCTAAGAAAAAAAAAATTATATGATGTTGGGTTTATCTACTGTCAAGTATAAAATGCTTGGTCCTCTTTGAAGAAGTGATACATCAATGGTTTATGTTTTGGATCCTTTAAAGACAAATTGATGGCTCCTCATGGTCTCTTACAAGATGATATGTGGCCATGTCCTTCTGGCATGCTAAGTGCCATATCTGCTATAGATGATAGTTCTTGACATGTCTATAAACTGGCCTTTCTACATCATAGGGTGATAGCATGCAGTCTTTACATAGCCTGTTACCTTATTTAGGCTCTTCATAGTCTTATATGATTTAGGAGAGAAGATTGTTTTTCTCTAATTGTTTGGCTACCTCATTGTATGGGGACAATCTACTCAGTGGGTTTTATATCAATTTTAGTTCACTAGTGTTACAAATTATTGGAAAGAGGAATGTTTTTGATCTGGTCAGTGTATGGGGTTTAAGTTAAATCTTTGTGAAATAATTGTGTTTTGTTTTAAAAGTTGACCATATTCTTCCAGATTAATAATTTTTCAGCCCTATCAAATTTAGCAGTGACAAGGAGGGAGGTTACTTCCATTCCATCCATTTTTGTAAAGAAGACTTCATAATACTGATTTTTAAAATTAACTATAATGTGCAAAATCATCTATCATTTTTTTATTGAAGAAAAATAGCAAGTATAAAAATATTAGAGATTCCAGTACTGACACGTTTCACAAGTGAAATTTTCTGTCCGTTTTTTTCCCACTCTGATGTTCAAGCTACCACAGGTTAAATCACTGTGGTAGCTTGAACATGTCTGAATTTATAGAATGAACAAGTAAATAAAGTGCACTGGCAATTCTCTGACAGTGGGCTGTTTGATTGACATTTGGGTCCCAGAGTGGTGTGGTTTGCTAAACTTTTTAGAGAAATTGTCAACTGATACCAAGATACAAGATGTAAATTCATGATGGTTTAATTGAGACTAGAAAAGGTCAGCAGTTAAATTAAATTTCTGAAGAAGCCAAGGGGGCTTCCAGAAGATTAGTTTATTCTAAAAGGTAGGACTTAAACAGAACATTACGTTAGCAACTGCATATATTTACATGTGGATAAGGTCAACTTATCTCGGAGAAACAATTACTTTACTGATACTTCCGTGTAATTAAAATGATTTATTTGCAGCTCAGGGCTGCTGTTAAAATTTGCATGCGATAATTTTAAATTTAAGATAGACTGCCTTTCCCTGAAGTGCTGAAAATAATTAATCCATATGTTGTGTAAGTGTTAGGAGAGAATAAGTTCTTTACAAAATATATTGTCTACATGTTTTCACACAATATAGTATGATAGCTGCTTCCTTTTTGTTGTATAGGCTAACAGTGTCATGGCTGATTCCAGTTAAATCCATCACTTTCATTTATGGAGGTTGAAAAATGGCAATTACAAAATCATGTTTGCTAAAGTGTCGGGCTACTGTGTGACTCAGCAGGTTGTTTCTGTGCCTTTTTTTCCCTTCTGCACAGGCCTGTGGAAGTGTTATCAAGGGAGAGTAATGCTGAGGCTGAGACCGCTTAGCTTTGCTCTGTCATCCTGTGTAGCACCCTCAGAGATGGAGATTCTTCACAGGAGGGATGGAAATTGCAAAGCCTAAAGAGGTCTGAGTAGGCGTAACTGCTGCCTCTCTTCCCTCTCACACAGCAGTTTAAAAATGCTTCTCTTGTAGCAGAAAGAAAATCTGAGCTAGGTCAATCCTGCAGAACCCTGGTGACGGGTTGCTGACAGTGAAGGATCTGTCTTAGGAAGAGTGACTTTACTTTCCCTTGGGAACCCTTTTACAACAATTTTATGAGTGTATAGTTGTTGAAGCTGTGATGTGCTGTTATTAATATTTCTGCCATGGCATCTGCTTTGCCTGTCATCATGGAGTGTAGGTTTTTGATTTGTGCTAAGTATATCACTTTGTGTTGCTTTTAATTCTGGAGACGTATTTAATGGCTTGCCACAAAGGGAATAGTTCAGTTTGTCTAAGTGTGATTCAGTCTCACGTGGGAGAACTGATTTACTTAAGGAATGGAGACTGTGTTTGTGGCTGTGCATTTCTGCTTGCTAAAACTTGATTCAAAAAATGTTCTTCCTTTCCTCTCATTTATCTTTTTTCTGATTTTTTTTTTTTTTTTTTTAGTTTGATTCCTGGCTTCCTACTGGGTCTTCATCATGTACAAAATACTGTGAAGTGCTCTTAATAACAGCCATAGTGAAAAACAATCTTCCTGGGTCATGAAGTCTTGTTTTGTGACACAGTAATAATAATCTAACATTTCAAAACTATATGCTGTTCTAGAAAAAAAAAAAAAAATCCATGTTACCTGAATGAAGACTTTATCGATAGTTTATATCTTCAACTATGTCACTGAATGGTTAGTGAGAAAAGGTGCCAAACCTGCAGTTTCTGCAGTGAAGCCATCCACAAAACATTACTATATCAATCATTTTTACTTAATGCTGCCAAATATTACAATTCCATTAAGGAATTGCTGATTTTTTCCTTACCTGTACTGATAACTAAAAATATATAGTTATCTATATATTTTCTATCTCCTATAAGTAAAATCTTAACCTGATTAAAAAAATGGAAGTTCAGACAACAAAATTGAACTAAAATGTGTCAAAGGAAATCCAAGATGCAGCTTTTAATAAGGTTCTGGCAGTCTGTCACCAACCTAGATAAGAAAGTTTTCCACTGTGTTCACAAACAAACCATAATAATTTTTGGTTTGTATTTTTGTTAACCTTAAAAATCCAAGTAAAATTGTTACTGTTGTGGGTTTTTTTTCCCCATTGCAGGAGTCACAACTGTGTTGACAATGACAACACTGAGCATCAGTGCTCGAAATTCACTCCCCAAAGTAGCATATGCAACAGCTATGGATTGGTTTATTGCTGTTTGTTATGCATTTGTATTCTCTGCATTAATCGAATTTGCAACTGTAAATTACTTCACAAAGCGAGGATGGGCTTGGGATGGAAAAAGTGTAGTGAATGATAAGGTAAGTCCTAAGGAAATTTCCCTATTTCCATTCAATTTCATTAAAGCAGCTGTAATACATAGTTTTGATAAAATTGGCTAGATAAAAACAAATAATATATGATGTTTTAAATCAAAAGAATGTAGGTGTATTTTCAGTCCTGAACAAAAATATATCTGCCCAGATGTAGCTAACGTTACTTGGTCTCAGTATTCCAGGTTTATATATCAAGCACATTGCTTTTTTTACATTGGGAACTGACTTGTTTCTTACTTCTTAAATACAACTGTTTATCTGTTTATTCAGAAAATTTAATCTAGATTTATTGGTTAATCCCTTTTTCATTATTTAATCCATTTCAATTGGAAATAAGAAGAATATTAGAGAGAGAGATAACATATATTAATTTTCCAGATAATTAAAGATAAGAACAGAATGCCCATATATGTAAAAAACTATTAATAACAAAATCCAGAGGTTTTGAACATTTTCAGTATTCTGAATCTTATCCTTAATGATATATAGACATTGATCTTTAAACTATTTTAAATAGCAATTTTACAAAATTCTCAATGCTTCTTCACCTATGATGCACTGTTGCTCTGAGTGCGCAGAAAAACAGTCATGCCTTAATTTTCTGGTATTGATAGTAGTGTAGGTGTGATAGCATGAAGAAATTTTCACCTGATAGAATTTCTTATTTCATGAACAAAATTAACTGGTGATATTCCTAAATTTGTGGCAAGCTTTGCAGTGCATAATTTTAATAACACAGAATGACTGTTAAAGCTAACCTTGTTTTGGCTGACTGACTATATTATGTAATTTTTCCTATCTCAGTGCCTGGTTCTACCAATGGAAAAGGATTTCTCATGATAAAGAATACTCTGATTTCTATCATTCTCCTTAAATTAGGTAGAATATTATTTGCTTCCTACATGATAGTATTAGATGTAAAGCAATGTTTAATTGACTGGTGGTTTCTCAGCACTTTGAATGCATAATGCACAATGCGTAAAGAAACAAAATGTTCAATTAATAGTACAAGAGAATTAGAAGAAAAAGTATGTTGTTTATAATTTCCTGTGGCTTCCATTAAGACATGAGCTGTCCATAGCTTTGGGGTCTGTTCCCTCATGCTAGAAGTAGATACAGAATCTCTACAAGATTATCAGCATGTCCCAAATCAAGCTTTTCAGATGGACATATTACCCTGGCATTGTAATAGTGTAGGCATCCCTTATAAAATCTTTGATCATACTTTGGCTGTTCCTTCAAATTAATATAACAGTGTTGTCTCCTGATCTTAGGAGTGGCAGCTGTTTAACAGCAAGATAGCATTTCTTCCCCAAGAAAAATAAAATTATCGATTCCATGTGAGGATTTACATACAATTCACATGCCCCGTTCTCTATTTTCTTCAAACTGTCTTAACAAAAAGCTAAACTTTTAACATGCTCATAGTTTGTCATACAAACATATGGTTCATCTTTATTATACAGGTCTCTTTAATGGTTTTACAAATACCTTTTAAAAACACACTAAGTGTGTCTGAAAGGAAGGAATTATAGATCAGTTAAAGCGTTCCTCTTGTAATTAGATTTGGCAATTATTTTTGCCGAATGCATCTGTGCACCTAAAGCCAGGTTACTCCTCACCAAATAGAGTGAAATATGTTTCCTCAGTGACAGTCATCTGTGTTCACGTTATATGGAAATTCCCATCTAAGTGCTGTCAACATGGAATTTGTCTGACAGGAAAGCAGGTGAAGGGACAAGCTACAGATTTGATCAGCCCTTTTTCACACTCCAGTCAATAAGGAACAGCGCTGAATTCCCACCTGATCCCAGATTTTATGTGACACCATCTCCTGTGCCACTTTAATTAGATAAAAAAATTAAACCAAACCAATACAATAGCCAGAAGTTTCTTCATCTGTTTAATTCTGTATTTTGTGAAAGAGATGGACTGAATCTAATATTTATTTGCCTATTTCTAAATTCTATATGGAGAGCCTTGCTTCCTGATAAGCTTCTCTTCCATTCTTTCCTGTCAGTTATTCGAAATTCCTTAGTTTGGGATTGCTGTAAAATGGTGAATCAATTACATTCAGTCTTGTTGCAGAACTAGTCTGTGTACCTATACATATGTTTAAAAACTCAAGCCTATACTCTTTTAACTTTACATCCCTGTATCTATCTATAGACGTAGTGTCTCCATTGGATTGGCTTTGGCTGAAATTTAGCCGTTTGACAGCATACACAATCTTGTAAAAACACAGAATTGCTGAGGTTGGAAGGGACCTCTGGATGTCACTGAATTTAATTACCCTACCCCAAGCAGGAACAGGGGCTTAGGGTCATATCCAGACTGAATTTTAGTATCTCCAAGGATGGAGACTCCACAATCTCTCTGGGCAACCTGTTCCAATGCTGTCACGCTCATGGTAAAACAGGTATTTTTGTATATTTAAGTAGAACATTCTGCATTTCAATTTGTGCCCATTGTCTCTTGCCCTTCTATTGGATATCACTGAGAAGAGTCTTTTCTGGTCTTCTTTACTCTCTCCCACCAGATATTTATATACATTGATAAAACTCCCCCTTGAGCCTGCTGTTCTCCAGGCTGAACAGTCACCACAGCTTTCAGCCTTTCATATTTCAGGTGGTTCGGGCCTTAAATGATCTTTGTAATCCTTTGCTGGACTTACTCTGCATGTCTCTTGAACCAGGGAGCCCAGAACTGGGTCTATCACTATGGATGTATCTTATTAGGGCTGAGTTGATGGGAATGCTCACCTCCCTCGGCCTTTGTAATGCAGTCAGGGCACATTTCTGACTTCTGTTCAACTTGGTGTCCATCCTGGGCCTTTTCTGCATAGTTGCTTTTCAGTCCATTAGTCCCAACCTCTACCGGTGCATGGTGTTATTCCTCCTGAGGTGCAGGACTTTAATTTCCCTTTGCTAAACTTCACTAAATTCTTGTAATTCCACTTTACTTTTCTTATATTCTGTTACTTTTTAGGTTCTAATCCCCATATTCATCACTGTTACACATTTTTTAAACAATAATTTCTGAAGAACAGAAATAGTTCTTGGACTAGCTCTCAGCCTGTTTCTGCAACTACTAGGCTCGAGTCCTTCTTTCTCTCAATTGCAATCTCTTTCTGACATCAGTGTGTGTGTCTATGTATATATACATGTAAGCACACACATATTTCTCCAGAATCTCTTAAAAATATAGAGCATTGCTGAAATTTCATTATATATTAGTGGTATATTATGAGAGGTTCAGTTAATAGTGATGCTAGATTTACGTGGAAAAGATGGCCTAATTTTCCTTTTATTACAATGCCAGGTAATTTTTATTTTTTTTTTTCCAGTCCACCCATTCATTCCTCATAGTTCTTTTAACAGAGAACATTTTAAACATCTTGCAATTATATTGTAAGGAGCCAGACACAAAGCAGCTAGAGAAAAAACTCTTTTCCAGTTATCCTTACAATAGCGATAGTAGATCCTTCCTCATAGAACTTCAGTAGGGCATTAGATAGCGCAAGAGTCTATGCTCTTACAGCATTCTCATGTTACCTATACCTTCTTTTTTGGTAGACTGGAAGTGTCTTTCTTTATATTTGAATTTATCAGCATGGTATTGCTAATACTTATTTTAACATACTTGTTTGTTTCTTTTACATTTGAAATGATGTTTAATTAAGTCTATTCTGGCAAATACACATTAAATATTTAACTTCATGCTGTCTTCCAATAGAAAAAAGAAAAAGCGTCTGTCATTAAGAAAAACAATGCCTATGCAGTGGCTGTTGCCAACTATGCTCCAAATATTACCAAGGACTCAGTGCTACCAACTATCTCCAAGAGTGCTACAACTGCAGAACCCAACAAGGCAAAACCAGAAGCGAAGCCACAGGAAGCAAAGAAAACATTCAACAGTGTTAGCAAAATTGACAGAATGTCTAGAATAGTGTTTCCAGTCTTATTTGGTACTTTCAATTTAGTGTATTGGGCTACATATTTAAACAGAGAGCCTGTCTTACTTGGCTTTGCACCATCAACTTAAAATCTGAATTGCACTGAGGACTTAAAGAATCATTCTAATCAGATAGGTTGTTCGCTGTGTACAGTCCGACTAATAACTGCTAATCTGTGAACCATTATGTACAGAGTGTATATAGATGTCTTATCAGTGTATCTCCAAAGGAGGGACACACTGTTATTTCATGGGTCTGTAAACAGATAGCACCCATGGCAAATATAGCCAGCTGTTTAAAAGTTATACCCAGGAGAGTTCTGTTAAACTAGGATTCAAATATACAGAATTATACTCTCTCCGTACAACGAAATGAAGATATGATCCTACATAATTATTTAAGAACAGTATTTTTTTAATTTAAAGTTAAAATATTTTTCTATAAAGTAATCCTACTTTAATGAAAGAAGCTGTCATTTAAAAAAATGATTTTTTTAAAAAGGTGTAATTGTTTCATACAATAGCGGTACCCATGTACATAACAAAGTATGGAGCTCATACAGTTCTACTGTTCACAAACATTGTGGATGCTAGTTAGGCTGAAGAGGTAGTAAAGACTACTATATGGCAAAAGCCACAAGTTTCTTTCTTCTGTCCTGCTTGAAGTTCTTATTAAACCCTTCTAAATGATTTCAGGCAAAAGCTAGTGTTAATCAAATTTTCACTTTCATCCAACTTCTGCTAATGAAAAATCTTGTTCTTTTCACTGTTTTATTTATTTGATGTTACTAAGCCAGGTTTGTCTGGTTCAGCAAAGTTGGATTTTTTTTGTTTTGTTTTTTGATTTTGTTCTTAATTGGATTATTGTGAGGTTCAGAAAAGTGCTCAGAAATCTTTCAGGGTTAAGTATACACTCTTTCCTTGCTTAATGTTAACCTAAAACCTGCCATTAAAATATTTACCTGTACTCGTCCAAGAAAGCATTCTTTTGAAGGGAAACAAGAATCATGACTTAAGTTCAGGAAATTGTCCATATAATAAAATTTACTGCTGCTTTTGTAAATTGCAACTTTGCATTTCGCTGACATAACTTTACAATAACTTTGTATACTAGAAATGGTTTTGCTAAGATTTGAATGTTATTTTTTTAATAAAAGGTCATGCATTTTCAGTAGGTATAAACTGTATTTCATATACACAAATATAACAAAATTGGAGCTGCCACTTGCAATTTTATATGAACATTTAATACTGATCAGTAAAATTGTTTCTCATCTGAGCCTTTGCAAAGATTCTTTATGCCCTTAAAGGCCTGATAAATCATAGCATAAGTAATAATTGTGTACTGTATTTAGATTTTAGTATACTTGGCCAATCAAAAATACTTCGATTCACACATACATTAGCAGTTATTAGTTGACCTTTAAAAAAAGATACACCTTTATGATGATGTCTTCTAGTAGAGACATATGTAGTCGTATAGTGTCATTTATTGCAGTTTTGTACAGTACTTGAGTATAGTGCATAAAATAGATATGTTCAGAGTTTAACAAAATTGTACAAATATTTCTAAAATCAAATAAAAGAGTATCTTAAGACATGGAAATGTGCTAAAAACAACAAAGAGAAACACTGCTCTCATTTGCTGATTTATTTTCTTGCTTTTTCTTTGCTTTTAATGTGATTCTGTTTTGTACTTTGTGTGACAGTATAGGTGCCAAGGTCACAAATGCATATTATGAATAGAATTAATAGTTAAGACAGAGTTGACATCAGGAAAATGTAAGTTAAAATGAAATGGAGAAGCATGGACTAGGTGTGTTTCCCTTGAAGTCCCTCTAATTAAACTGTCAGATTAAACCTTTCTCATCAACAGTAGTTAAAAAATGAGCACTTTACTCAGAACATTAAAATTGAAATATCCTTATTTTCATATATATTTATATATAAATGTAGATTTTCCATGTAACATGGAGATGTGTGCAATAGTGAGATTATGAGCATAAGGCTGGAAGGCAAGCAATAAACAAAGGTTTATTTCATGGTATAATTATACATTTTTAAAATGTTTCATTTGTAAATTATAAATGATCCCTTTAAAGTCACATTGTCCAGGTATGAATAAATATATAAATATGTACATATGTACAAACAATTGTAAATATTAGAACTGTAGAAAAATCCCTTCACTTTTAACTCTGTTTTTGGCAAAGGGCTCTGACTGTATAGTTTAATGGAGGCCCATGTTAAACAGCTCTTGAACTTGAGTAGCTCGATTATGTTTTCTGTGGCAAAGGTCTCCTTCCTATGACCTAGTGCGAGTTCTTACCTTCTGTTTGCATCAGCAAGATGTAGGGACCCTCCGAGGCTCACTGAACTGGGGCATGAGAAACAGAGGTTTGTGTTTCACCCTTGGTCACTCCCAGGTACTCCAAACTCTTCAAAATATTTGAACAATGTTGTGTATTGCTCCATGCATGACACTGTATAGTCAGAACTCTCCCCACTACGAGTGTGCTTAGAGGCATATTGGATTAGCTGATAAGGAAGGATTTTTCATCCTAATCCAAGAACGGGACCTCTCAAAGGTTTTTGACAGTACAAGTCTTCTACAACAAGACAACTTCTCTGGAAAAGAACAGCTGTGTAATTCAGAGCTGCATGCAAAAAGTGTATCTTCAGTCTGTATAAGAAGCCTGATGCTGTCTCATGTTAGTCAGCTCTGCTGCTACTGCTTTGTTTTTTGGGTAAAATGATGTTTTCACTCACTGACCATTGTTTTCTATGCTTGTGTTATGCTTAGGAGTCAGGAAGGCAAAAAAACAGGTGTGTTTATCACATGCTAAAGATACATTTATTGCGCACTAATACAGAAGAATAAGTATAATGTACAAATTCAGTCAGTGAATGAGAATACATTTTAAATACACAAATTCAGTCAGTGAATGAGAATACATTTTAAATACACAAATTCAGTCAGTGAATGAGAATACATTTTAAATATACACATGCAGTTATTGTGGGCATTAGCAAGACTTTTGAGTGTGTAGGCTCCACAAAAGCTTCACTTTTACATTTAGTTCAGCTGGTCTGTGTTAAAGCAAACACCTTCTGTGGGAGGAAGTCTGCTTTATTGTTTCACTACTGAAACATTTATAGTGAATAAAATGACTACACATAAGTTGCAAATTTGTAAAACTAAAGACTGGATAAGTGAATTTGAATGTAAAGGATTAAATGAATGCAAGCATCATGCAAGGAACATTGGAATGCAAGAGTTAAGCCTTCTTACAATTTAGTGGCATTGAATCTGTGTCTAGGATTTGAAAACTGGTGTCACAAATTTATGAGCCAAATACCTAGAAGTTTCATTTAATTTAAGTAAAACTTACTGGTCTTAAATACTTAAAAGTGAGGAGAGGGACTGTAAGTGAGCAAATGCAAGTAATTTTGCTATCAAAAGACTTGCACAGTGAAAATTTTTTACCAGTGAAATTTTTGATTGACATGTTAATATAATTTATTTTTCCCATTATTCTGGGGTCAGGGTGTTCATATTTTATGTGAGTTAATAAATGAACACAAAAAATACAGTGATATAACACTATGGTAAACTTCTATTGAAATTACTATAATTACAAACGAGGTTTCAATTATGAAACAAGTTTCCAAGGTAGTACTGGGGCACACGCTGCTGGATGCACATGGTCACTACTTTAACAATAATTTATAAATCAGCATGAAGAATATACAGATCAGCAGGGTTTATCAGCCAGGGTTGTCTGCTGAAGACTTCTTAACTCCTTGCTTTTAAAAGAGCGGCTTCCAAAATTCTCAATTATGTTGTAGCCAATGAAATTACCTTCACATTCCATATCTGCTTAATTCAACTTGTAACTGCTGCATTGTTGATCATCTTTAAAAAAAATATTATGCTGGATGTTCTGAGGTACAAACTTTAGGTTGGGAGACTACTCATAAAACTGAATATTATTCTAAATTAGGAAGCATGAAAGAGCTTCTCCAGATGCCAAACAGGAGCCTTACCGAATTCCCTTCCCTTCCCAGTGATCATAGATAACATCTGATATGATGAGACTTTTCAGAAGTGAGGTGACCATAAATTGTCTGTGTGAAAGCAACTAGAAGCAACTGGGAAGAGGTAGGGACATATGGGGGAAGAAAGGAGGAAAGCAAAGAAGCAAATGTATTTCTTAGTGGCTTGTGAGATAATTGGTTGAGGAAGAAGCCATTGAGGGAGGTAATATGTATTTTTGTGTCAGCTTCAGTTCTGAGCGTTCATCAGCATGAGCTGTGGGAAAGTAACTTTTAGAACATAGAAGATGTAAATACTACTTGTATAATTCTGCTGAACTTGAGGGACATGAACTGTGCCTTTGAAAGTGAGAGGCTTCTGCTGGCTGTGTTCTGAAAACCATGCAGTGTTGTGTGCTTCCTGCCATAAGAGACACCTGGAGTGAAGGGGGGAAAGAAGCTTCATTAATGAAATAGAACTCTGTTAATTCTATTTTTTTCTTAAAAGGTGTGACTTTCACTTAAGCACAGGTTGTCAGTATCTATCCTCCATACCTCTCATTCCTATTCTGAAAGCTAAGTGGTGAACAAGTTTTTGCCTTGGCCTTTCACAAAACAAAGGAAGCCTATACTTCTGAACATTTCCATCCCTAACAAATATTCATGGAAGATGATTTCAGTATGGATATGAAGCTATCATCAGTCTATGTCCGATTATGGGTAAACATATAATGCTAAAAAAAAAAAAAAGCAAGCAATTTAGAAAGCAATGTGATGGGTTTTAAGGAGATGAAGACATTTTAAAATTAGCTCAGAACGTTAAATAGCCTAATCTAAAAAACACAGAGCATGAAAAATGTACAAATGTCTAAACACATCTAAGTAGAATCTCTGAGTGTGGTATAATTTGATGTCATATGAAGTTTTTATCTTAAAGACTTTGAAGCATTAAAGTGGTGAAGTGATTTTATATGAAAGTCAGCTCACACTTCAGCCTCCAGTAAAAGGAGTGGTTCTTTCAAGATCAGAGTTTTAGGATTCCTTCCACCTCTTCACAGTGATAACATACCTTCTGCTAGAATGTTGTCAGTTTGCAATACAACTTGAAGTTATATTCCTTTGACATTACCTTCTCTTAAATTTTTTAGTCTAGGAGACCTCCTCCACCTCATTTCTGTAGATAACCCAAAATCCCTAACAATCAGAACTTCTAATTCTGTTCTGAATTCAGCTGTCTGAGAATCAGTGAGAGACTTTATCACTTTAGACCTTTAGTAGTAGAAGTTAAAGGCTTTAAAGTTTGTTTCAGTGAATGGCAGGTGTTAATCACATAAAAATTTTAAAAACATTTTAAACCCATTTAATTTTTTAGGTTCACATCTCTCTGGGTGAATCCTTGAACTTGTGTTTTGGAGTTTGTGAGTACATCTGACTGGAAGATACTAAACACTGCAAGCTGGACTGAGATCAGGGCAAAATTTGCACTGAATTTAAACTAACAGTGATTAACATCCTGAGGATATTTATCTATGTCACTGGAGTCAGTCAGGATTTTTCACAGAAGGGGAGTACACCTGAGACTACACCAGGGTTCTCCTTTGGATAGAGGTGGTTTAGTTCTTTAACGTATAAAAATAAGACCTTAAAAGAGCTCACCATACTGAAATACAGGACTTGATGTCTGTTTCATTCCTAGTATATGTTAATGTCATTTGAGAATATTGAGAAAGTGCCATGAGTTAGGAGTAGGTGATAATGCAAAAAGAAATTTAAAGGATATTTTAAAATATGCAAGATAATGTATACTTTTCCTCTAGTGTTGGTGTCTACATAAATATATATGAATATATTTTTATTGTTGGGTGTTTCA